TCATATTGCTGCAGACCTTAGTTACATCCTAGGAACAAGAATACTTCCTAAAATAAAACTAAGGTATCAGCCTTATCCTTCCCTTTGTGTCTCCCAGAAATATGATGGGAGGAATTACCTGCCCCAAGCCTTCCCTCATTAAAGATATTACTGTACTCTGGAATTTGAGCAAAACCTTAAATCTCCAGGCTTTTTAAAGCACAAAATATAAAAGCTGGGAAAGTAAACCAAAATTCTACAGATTGTTCCTCGTGAATATCCCCCTTCATCTGCAACTCCCCAGAGTGATGAACAGATTAGTAGAGGCAGCTCAGGTGAATACTCACTCAGCTTGCCTCTCAATTCATTCCTCCTCTTCCTCTCAAAGGCTGAAGGCAGGGCCTTTCCAGTCCTCACAACCTGCCCTTCCCCCAGTCCCTCCTAACCCAGGGATGGAAGCTTTGAGTCCCACGGTGTGGTGATACCGAGCGCTAGTTGTCACTGCCTGGCTTTATTTAAAGGAAATGCAGTAGGCTTCCTCTGTAGAGTTCTGAAAAAGTTGACTATATAGAGGTCTTGTATGTTTTTACTTGGTCAAGTATTTCTCACATCTTTTGTTATCAGAGTACCATTCCAATCTCTTAACTTGCAGTTGTGTGGAAAACTGTTTTGTAATGAAAGATCTTCATTGGGGGATTGAGCAGCATTTAATAAAGTCTATGTTTGTATTTTGTCTTATGTCATCTTTGCTTTTTTTTTTTAGCTTTAAGCTTAGGCATACGGGAGAAGCTTGCCCCCCTTTATAGAGATACATACATGTATTTACAGAAATTTTTAAGACAAATTGTGAGACGTGTTCTAATTAAAAAATAGGAAGGTCATGTGTTAGGGTTGAAAGTTCCAGCCATTTACCAAAGTATATCTGTTTTATAGAACATATACTGAAAATTCTAAGTTCTAGGCTATTCTTCCATCCTCCCTGTGTGTTCCGAGGATAGATTTAACTTACTGATTACTTAGTAATTAAAAGCTAGTTTTAATTAAAACAGACCCAGAAAGATAAATCTCATTATCCATATTAAATAACTACTTTTTTTTGTGAAGAGCAGGGAGATTGTGGGAGTTAGAAGTCAGACATTGTTATTAAGTGTTTTTGACTACTGATGCTTATTTGTGCTTTAACAGCAACGGAAAACACTAGCACAGGTTTTGCACACTACTTCCACGTCATCATGAAAACACTTCCTTTTGGAAAGGAGCAGGGAATATGTCTTTACACAAGTTCACTTTTAATAATTCAGCCAAAAAAGAGATAAAAATGCCCTACTCACACGTTTGAGTTGTTCTCTTTGGATTATCTAAAGCCAGATTATGAAATTTAGGAAATGCTACCAAGTCCTCTGTGGATGCACTGGGCATGTAAATAATTTAAAACTCTGGAAACCATTTTTATAACCTTAACTCAGTCAATGTGAGAAATAGCTAGAGGGCTTTTTATAAGTACTCATTTCTGTCAAAAGCTAGGCTGAAAGCTTTGAGGGTCATACTGAGGGCCCCTTTCTCAGCCAGGTGGTTTTGAAGGACATGATAAAGACTTATTCATGGGGCATGGTATGTTACTGTTCCTGGCCACCCACCATCGATCGCCACGCCCAACCTACCCTTCCCTGGAAGCAGTTAGGACATACCTCAGGAGCCGGATCCATCCATCCTGGGAATCCAGACTCACGCTACCTTTTGTTTTTGGAGGTCACAGAATCAAAGCGTATTGGTGCCTGCTGATTTAGCAGATATTCATCCTGGCACACTCATTCCTTTTCTATTAATCTAACTTTTATTTACCTGTTAATGAAATCATCAAAATACACTGAGTGGGCATCTACTATGTACATCCATCCCAATGCTTTTGAGTGCTAATGACTCTAACCTCATACTTGTATCAACAAATATTCTAGCCAGACAAGTAGGTGGCTAGTCGGGACATAAGACATTTAATTACTAGTTTTTAAAGTCTCATGTAATATTTAACAAATGAGAGAGCTTTTCAGAGGCTAGATAATATCAATGGCAAGTGATGCCAAAGTCATAAGAGTTTTACCTTTCTTTGTGTACAGTGCATAGGTTCCAAAGCATGACCCGCATATCTTGATAGTTAAGGGTTTTTTGGAAAAAGAAAATTACACTCTCTTCTGTCCATTTCAGAAACCTCAGGGGAAAACCTAAGGTAAAAAGTAGAACCTTAATTATCCTGTAGAGCTTAACTATACAATGAACCAAATGGGAAGAAAGGCATCTTCCACAAACCCTATTCACAAGTCACTGGACAGCTCTTTAAAATGATTACTAATAATTTAAACACTTAAATAACTTTTAGGTTACCCATTGGATCTTTTCTGTTAGGCTCTAAACAGCCTCTTTTTGGGCCAGGTTAGAAGTTGCTCTTCCTCCCAGCAAGGCCCCATTTCTTCAAGTGAGTACAGGATTGCTGGTAGCTCAGTTTATCAAAGTGGAAGTGGTAAGAGCTTCCATTAACGTGGGCAGTTCCATGAATAACGCAAGGTGACTTCAGCTTATGTGGTTCGTTGCCTGACCTCTTCTTTTAAGGTATCTCTTTCTAATTTTCATCATCCATTTCACACTCAGTTTGGCAAATTCTGCTGCTTTAAATAATGCCAAGAAGGCCCCACAGAGAAGGGCAATTGTGTTCCAAGGATTGGCAGTGATTATCTGTGAAAGAGAAACACACACAGGATTAATAGTTTGCTTCAATCTTGATTCTTAAGTGATACTAGTGTTATTGTCAAGAGCCCTTCCTAAATTATTACGGCTATAAGAAAAACACCTGGGTTCTGAAATTGTTATAACTCTACATTTCAGACTATACTTTCAATGCCCATAGCTCAGTTTGAGGAGAAAAATACTCCCCCTCCTCCCCCCACCTATAATAAAGTGATTCTGAAAGAAACTGGTTTTTTAAAAAAGCTCTGCACGAATAAGATTTTCAATACTGAGTTTTAATTTGTGGCCTAATCCAATAATCAGTGACATTGCTTTGAGGTAAATTTCCCTAAAAATATCCAATCCATAAGAAAGTCAGTTACTCTTGTTTTCGTCCCATCTCATAGTTACCTTAGTTTCAAACTCTTCCCTGACCCTCCCCAACTCCATCAGGACTGGGTATCTACAGGTGTTCAGGAGAGTCCCAGCATAGCTGGGCTTAGGGTGCCCTCGCATGCTGCAATGGCTGTTGTGATCACACACTTAGGGAACTCATGGATCAGTCCCCTTTTAATTTATGGAAAGCCCTCTGAAGGTGGCCGGATACAAACAAGGCCAGACAGCAAAGACTGGAATAAATACATAATTTTTCAATCCCCAGACAAATAAATTTCCTCAAATACCAAGAACATTCAGGGAAACATGACCTCACCAAACACACTAAATAAGGTGTCATTGACCAACCTTGGAAAGACAGATGTGTGACCTTTCAAGGAATTCAAAAATAGCTGTTTTGAGGAAACTCAAGGAACTTGAAATTTAACAAAGAGATTGGAATAATAAAAAAAAATCAAACAGAAATCCTGGGGGTGAGAAATGAAATTAATGAACTGAAAAATGATCGAGGAGAAGGAAGGATTAGTGAGCTCAAAGACAGGCTATTTGAAAATACAGTCAAAAGAGAACAAAGAAAAAAGAATGAAGAACACTATGAGATCTGGAAAATAGCCTCCAAAGGGCAAATCTAAGAATCATTTGCCTTAAAGAGGGAATGGTGAAAGAGACAGAAGTAGAAAGATTATTCAAAGAAATAGCAGAGAACTTTCCAAACTTAGAGAAGGATATGAATATCCAGGTCCAAGAAGGTCAGAAAACACCAAGTAAGTTCGGCTCAAATAAGACTACCCCAAGGTGTATAATAATCAAACTGTCAAAGAGTGGATACTAAAAGCAGTAAAGGAAACAAGCAAATAACATATAAAGGAGCTCCAATATGTCTGGCAGCAGACTTCTCAGCGGAAACCTTACAAGCCAGGAGTGAACGTGATGATATGTTCGGAGAAAACCACTTTCCACCAAGAATTCTATAACCAGGAAAGCCATCCTTCCAACATGAAGGAGAAATAAAGACTCTCAAACAAAATCTGAGGGAATTCATCACTACCAGACTGTCTTACAAGAAATGAAAGAAAAGGACACTAACATGCAACAAGAAATCACCTAAAGTGTAAAACTCACTGGTAAAAGCTAGTACACAAATTTAGAATACTCTACTATTGTAACTGTGGTGTGTAAACCACTCATATCTTTAATATGAAGACAAAAAAAATCTATCAAAAATAATAACTGACAATTTGAGAGATACGCAACATAAAAAGATACAAATTTAGACAACAAAAATGTCTAAATGTGGGAGATGGAGTTAACTTTGTTTCTTTTCAAAGTTAAGTTGTCATCAGTTTAAAATAACTTGTTATAACTCTAAAATATTTTTTGTAAGCCTCATGGTCACCACAAAGCAAAAACTTATGACAGATACACTAAAAATAAAAAGCAAGGAATTAAAACATACTACCTGAGAAAATCGCTTAGCCACAAAGGAAGAGTAAAAAAGGAAGAGAGAGAGAAGTTACAAAACCTCAGAACAAGCAACAAAATGGCAGTAGTACTTACCTGTCAATAATAACACTGAATGTAACTGGACTAAATTCTACAATTAAAAGACAGTCGTTAATTGGATACAAAAACAAGACCCAATTGTTTGTTGCCTATAGACACACAAAGACTAAAGTGAAGGGATGGAAAAAGACATTCCATGCAAATATAACCACCCCCAAAAGTAGCTATACTTAACACCAGATAAAATGGACTTCAAGTCAAAAACTGTAAAACGAGGCCAGGTATGGTGGCTCACACCTGTAATCCCAGCACTTTGGGAGGCTGAGGTGGCAGAGAGGATTGCTTGAGGCAAGGATACCAAGACCAGCCTGGTCAACACAGCAAGACCTCGTCTCTACAGAAAATAAAAAAATATTCAAGTGTGGTGGTATGCGCCTGTGTCCTAGCTATTTGAAAGACTGAGGCAGGACTGCTTGAGCAGTTCAAGTGCAAGGCTGCATGTAGTAAGCTATGATCACGCCACTGCACTCCAGGCTGGGGGACATAGTGAGACCCTGTCTCAAAAAAAAAAAAAAAAATATAAAAGACAAAGAAGGTCATCATATAATGATAAAGAGGTCAATTCAAAAGAAGATATAACTGTAAATATATATGCACCCAAATATATCAAGATAGATATATCTATTACTAGATCTAAAGGGAGAGATAGATTATAATACAACAGTAGGTGACTTCAACATCCCACTTGCAACAAGGCACAGATCATCTAGACAGACTATCGACAAAGAACCATCACAATTAAACTATACTCTAGATAAAATGGACCTAATTGACACTTATAGCACATTTCATCCAGCTGCTACAGAATATACATTCTTCTTAGCAGTACATGGAACATTCTCCAGGATAGACCACATGTTAGGCCACAAAAAAGTCTAAACAAATTTTAAAAAACCAAAATCATACCAAGTATCTTTTCTGACCACAATGTAATAAAACTGGAAGTAAATAACAAGAGCAACTTTGGAAACTGTACAAATACATGGAAATTAAATAACATGTTCCTGAACATCCAACGGGTCAATGAAATTAAGAAGGAATTTTAAAAATTTCTTGAAACAAATGAAAATGGAAACAATGTACCAAACCTATAGGATGCAGTCAAAGCAGTAGAAGTTTATGACAATAAATGCTTACACCGAAAAGGCAGAAAAACTTCAAATAAACCACCTAATGATACACCTCAAGGAACTAGAAAAGCAAGAACCAAACCCAAAATTAGCAGGAGAAATAATGATCTGAGCAGAAATAAATGAAATTCAGATACAAAAATGAAAAGTTTTTTTTTTGAAGATAATCAACAAACCTTTAAGCTAGACTAAGAAAAAAAGAGAAGATCCAAATAAAATCAGAGACAAAAATGGAGCCATTATAACTGATACCACAGAAATACAAGAATCCTTAGAGACTATTATGAACCAATATACACCAAGAAACTGGAAAACATCGAAGAAATGGATAAATTCCTGGACACAAAAAACCTACCAAGATTGAACCATGAAGTAGAAAACCTGAACAGACCAATATGAATAACAAAATCAAAGCAGTAATAAAGTCTCCCATCAAAGGAAAGCTCAGGACCTGATGGCTTCACTGCTGAATTCTACCAAATGTTTAAAGAAAAACTAACAGCAAGTCTATTCAAACTATTCCAAAAATTGAAGAGGAGGAAATACTCACACTCATTCCACAAGGCCAGCATTACCTTTATACCAAAACCAAAGACACAACAACAGAAAAATAACTACTGGCCAATATCTCTGATAAACACAGATGTAAAAGTCTTCAATAAAATACTAGCAAACCAAATTCAATAATATATTAAAAAGATCATTCACCATGATCAAGTAGGATTCATCCCAGGATTGCAAGAATGTTTCAACATATGCAAATCAACAAACATGGTATATCACATTAACAGAATCAATGACATAAACCATGTGATCATTTCAATAGATGCTGAAAAAGCATTTGATAAAATTCAGTATCCATTCATGATAAAACTCTCAACAAACTGGATACAGAAGGAACATACCTCAAAACAATAAAGGCCATCTATGACAAACCCATAGTTAACGTCATATTCAATGGGGAAAATTGAAAGCCTTTCCTCTAAGATCTGGAACAAGATAAGGATGCCCACTCTCATCACTTTTATTCAACATAGTACTGGAAGTCCTAGCTAGAGCAATTAGGAGAAAGAGATAAAGGGTATCCAAATTGGAAAGGAAGAAGTCACATTAGCCCTGTTTGCAGATGACATAATCTTATATTTAGAAAAACCTTAAGACTCTACCAAAAATTGGTTAGAACTGATAAACAAATTCAGTAAAGTAGCAGGATACAAAATCAACATACAAAAATCAGTAGCATTTCCATATACCAATAGCGAACAATCTGAAAAAAGAAATCAAGACAGCAGTCCCATTTACAATAGCTACAAAAAATATAAAATATCTAGGAATAAATTTAACCAAAGAAGTGAAAGAATCTCTACAATGAAAACTATAAAACACAGATGAAAGAAATTGAAAAGGACACAAAAACTGGAAAGACATCATATGCTCATGGTTTAGGTAGGATGTCCACACTACCCAAAGTGATCTACAGATTCAGTGCAATCCCTGTCAAAATACCAATAACATTCTTTACAGAAATAGAAAAAAATAATCCTAAATTTCATGTGGAACCACAAAAGATCCTGAATAGCCAAAGCAATCCTGAGCAAAAAGAACAAAACTGGAGGCATCACACTACTTGACTTCAAAATAAACTACAAAGGCATAATAACCAAAGTAGCATGGTACTGGCATAAGAACAGACATATAGACCAATGGAACAGACTAGAGAACCCAGAAATAAATTCATTACGTACAACCAACTCATTTTTGACAAAGGTACCAAGAACATGCATTGGGAAAAGAGTCTCTTCAATAAATGGCGCTGGGAATACTGGATGACTATATGCAGAAGAATGAGACTAGACTCCTCTCTCTTACCATATACAAAAACCAAATTAAAATGGATCTAAGACCTGAAACTTTGAAACTACTAGGAAAAAAACATTGGGGAAACGCTTGAGGACACTGGTCTGGGCAAAGATTTTTTGGGGTAGACCTCAAAAGCACAGGCCACAAAAGCAAAAACAGACAATGGGATTACATCAAGCTAAAAAGCTCCTGTGCAGCAAAGAAAACAATTAACAAAGTGGCGAGGCAACGTACAGAACGGGAGGAAATGTCTGCAAAGTATCCATCTGACAAGGGATTACTAATCAGAATATATAAGTAACTCAAATAATTCAATAGAAAAAAGATAATAATCCAATTAAAAATGGGCAAAAGATCTGAATAAACATTTCTCAAAAGAATACAGGCTGGTCGAAGGTAGTGAGTCATCTCAACTGATTATTCACAGTCACAGTTATAGATCAAATTCCTTGTTCTACTGTATCCCCTCTTCTCATTACTGCACTTAAATAGTCTTAAAAAAAGAATACATACAAATACACCAACAAGTTTATGAAAAAATGCTCAACAGCACTAATCATCAGGGAAATGCAAATCAAAACCACAATGAAATATTCTCTTACCCAGTTAAAATGGCTATTACCAAAAAGACAGAAAGTAATAGATGCTGGCGAGGATGTGGAGAAAGAGGAACTCTCATACACTGTTGTTGGCAATGTAAATTAGTACAGCCACTATGGAAAAACAGTATGGAGATTCCTCAACAAGCTAAAAACAGAACTACCATATGATCTAGATATATACATACACATATGGAATATATCCGAAAGGAAGGAAACAAGTATATCAAAGGGATATCTGCACCCCCATGTTTACTGCAGCACTATTCACAATAGGAATCAACCAAAGCATCCATCAACAGATTAATGGATAAAGAAAACATGGCATATACACACTACAAGGCATATACACACTGTAGAATACCATTCAACCATAAAAACAAATGAAATTCTGTCATTTGCAGCAACATGGATGAAACTGGAGGTCATTATGTTAAGTGTAGCCAGGCACAGAAAGACAAAAATTGCATGGTCTCACGCATTACATAGGAGCTAAAAAAAAAAATTGATCTCATGGAGGTGATGAGTAGAATTACAGAGGCTGGGAAGGTTAGCGGGAAGAAGGAAATAAAGAAAAGTTAGTTAATGGGTACAAAAATACAGTTAAATAGAAGAAATAAGTTATGATATTAGATAGTACAGTAGGGTGACTATTATAACAAGAATTTATTGTATATTTCAAAATATCTAGATGAGAAGATTTGGAATGTTTCTAACACAAATAATAAATGTTTGAGATGATGCATATCCCAGTTACTAATTTGATCATTATACTTGTATGCCTGTATCAAAATAATCACGTGTGCCCCATAAATGTGTACAATTATGTATCAATTAAAAAAAGAATTTGGCATTGATGCTTTGTCAATTATTTACATCTTTCTGCTCTGACTTACCACAAATACCTTTCCTACGAAGAAACATTAAAAAAGAATGACTCCCAATGGCAGTAATCTATATAGTGACTTAACGTTTTCTACTCTAGTCAATGAATATTACTGAGCAGTAATATTACTAAGCACTCTGTTAGATACCAGATAAATTATGGTGAACAAAATAACAAAGTCCCCTCCGTCAAAGAGACAGTAGTCTAGTGATGAAAACAAGATCGATTAAACACAAAGTATACATAACATCAATGTCATAAATGTAGATTACAAACTGATTCGATTCATGCTATGAGAGATGAGGACAGGTAGACTTACCAGGATGCAAGAATGAGCCAAAACTGCTTCAGGGCAGGGAGTTTGTTCTCATAATCTTAAATAATACTCACATCTTGGACTTTCTGGATGAAAGGATCTTTCCATTCAAAGACCACAAAAAACAACTGAGCACTTTTTTCGGCAGCTGGCCTCTGGTCAATGTAGTTAACCACACTCGTCTAGACATAAAAAGAGAGAGAAAGCAGTGTTACCACCTCTGTGTGCCCCTCCCTTGCCTGGGCCCCAGGAAAGGAGAGTAGGATGGGAAACTCAGACCTTGGCTCTCCTCACACCATTTTTAGGGGAGAGAGTGCCAAAAATCTCATATACACAAGATCCTGACACTGTATCAGAGCAAAGGCTTTACCTTGGTTTATATAGTTCTTTGGGGAGACACATAGGATCTGGGATGTACAAAAGGTGTTTTAGATTGTCCCCAACATCTGTCATTAGGTATCACAATTAAACCATATTCAAACTACCATGCAATACTCAAAATCACAATTAAAAGTAAAAAGGCCTGGTGTGGTGGCTCACGTCTATAATCCTAGCTCTCTGGGAGGCCGAGGTGGGAGGATTGCTTGAGCTCAGGAGTTTGAAACCAGCCCGGGTAAGAGCAAGACCCTGTGTCTACAAAAAATAGAAAAATGCCGGGCATAGCGGTGTGTGCCTGTAGTCCCAGCTACTCAGGAGGTTAAGGCAGGAGGATCGCTTGAGCCCAGGAGTTTGAGGTTGCAATGAGCTATCATGATGCCACTGCACTCTAGGTGGGGTGACAGAGCAAGGCTCTGTTTCCAAAAAAAATTTTAAAAAAAAGTAAAAAAATAAAATCCCAAATTTTAAAATACTTGATCTTAAGAGCTGGGTATTTCAACCCTTCAAGTTTGCAGGGACAAAGCATAGCTGCATAGATCCACACAGCTGACCATTCTCTGTAAATATTTAGCAGGTTTGCTGGGCAAGATCTGGTTATCAATTACCGAAGAGGCTGAGTGGTGTGATGGAGAGCGGAAAGGTTACAGAGGCAGAAGCCAGCCCCAACCCAGAGGCTTGTGTCCGTCATCTGAGCCTCAGCTTTGCCACCGGTAAAAGGGAACAAAATGCCTATCTCACTGCAGTAGGGAGAGGATCAAATGAAATAATCTATGTGAAAGCATTTTAAACTCTAAAACTTGATTTAAAAAAATATTTAAGTTTTATTCAAAAGAGCTCATGACACTGCCAAAAGACTTCCAATTTAGGTAATAACAAAAGGCATAAAATGTTTCTCAATTTTATGGATTCGCTGGAGTTTTCACCCCTTTGGTTTCACCTCACAGAGCTAGCCGGAAAGCCAGGGTCGATGGGGTTGCACCTGAGTGTAAGGTGAACCCACTTAGGCTCCTTTCTCTCAACTATTGTGCGGCCAGATGAGAAAGGACTTGGAGTTCTTGGAGCAAAGTGTTGAGTAAAAATCTAGGAGATAACAGTTATCTTACAAAAGAATATTTTAAGGTGCTATCTCCAGGAGAGTTGTCACCTCCTGAGACACAGAAAATAGCCTGTCTCCTTGCAGAAAACTGGCTTTGAGCCTTTCCCCAAAGTATCCAGCCTAGAATAGTCTTGGGAGCCAGAGCTCATGAAGGGGCAGTTTAAGATTAACCCAAGACAGGCCCAAACTGGACTACTGCATGACTTCTGGCCAGTGACGGTCCAGTTGGTTGGAGTGGGTCTTTCTACTCCAATCTTTCCTAATGCTGACCCTTGGAGTCCAGCCGAAATGGAACACCTCCAAGGAGGAACAGAGGGTCAGAGAACACATCTGTCTCCTCTCGCTTCCTCTGCTGTACCTGGCCACTTACGCACAGGATGGTCTGGCTCTCAGTGTGGATCTGGAAGGAGAGCAGAGAGCCACTGCCTAGGGAGAAGCCTTAGAAGCAGGGAGGGGCCTTGCTTCTGTTGGGGACTTACCCACGGCTCTACTGAGGCAGTCAAAATCTCCCATCTCCATCCCCACTGCCAGATCTTTTCCCAAGGTCCTTGCCGTCTCTCACGGGCATCACAGCAAGAGACACCTAGCATATCTCCTGGCTTCTAGGCCAGTGGGCAGAAAGCTTTTTGATCAGACTTCCCATTACTAAAAACGTTTTGAGCATGCACCCCATATATTTATAACTTTATAGGCAATATATAATGTATACTTACTGTTCTAATGTTATACTCGTTTTACACATTCAAAAATTGAAATGTTAAAAGGATGAGATAAAAATAAATACAAAAAAAAGCTGGTCTTTTCCTCCAGCATCCCAATGGATCATCATGTGCATGACACTTAAGAAACTACTGCGTCTGGACTAGAAGCCCCATCTCAGGGGGAAAAAAAAAAGTAAGAAACCACTGTGTCTAGTCTACCCTGCAAATAACAGATTTGCTATGCTGCTGCCAGCAGCTCTCAGAGTGCTGCTGGATGCAGGACATCAGATGCAGCTGGGCAAGTCACCAATCTCTCTGCAAGACACAGTGATCTCTGCTCCGCACGTGGGTTCTGTGAGGACTGGCCAGCATATGCACTGCCTACAGAAGAACATAGGCTCCTTGGCATGGCATATGAAGCCCTCTGCCAGGGTCCCCTCTCATCCTAGCCAAGGTCTACTCACCCTTAAGACCCTGCTTGAAGGACCCTCTCTTCTGCAAAGCTTCCCTCTACACCAGACTCAAGTATGGAAAAGTCACCAGCAGTTTCAAGCAAACCCAGAGCCACTTACCTCCTGCCGGAACTCCACTGCTTCCCGCCCATCCTCTTCCTTGGTCTTCACCAGTGACATCTTGACCCAGGTGCGGAAGCCCCCAGAGAACTTCCAGCTGGAATAGGCACTCTCACAGGCCTGCATGAAGCCTACCCTGTCTGGGCTTGGAGGACAGAGAGAAGAAAGATCCAGGTCAATTCAGGCCTGATAGCAGGATTCAAACACGGCCAGACTCAAAACTCCAGCCCCCACTGCAAGCTGATTTCTTTGCTGGCACAACAAGGATGCTGCCCACTCCCTGCTTCTTCTCCAAATTTTGGTTGTCTCAACAGGGCTGTTTGTCAGTCACCAGCAAAAGCAAGGCCCATCCCTGCTTTCTTTCCATTCAGTTTCCAAATGGAAGGGGAGTTGTCACCAGCCTAAAGGCAGGAGCATGATCCTGAAGCTCACAATGGGAGAATTCCTCCTCCCTCCCACCTCATCCTTCTACCACCTGCTCCCAAAGCAGTCGGCACTGACGTTTGCAGATACTCCCCACAACACGGTGCCTGGCTCCTCTGAGAACTCTGGACTTAAACAGCCTGAGGAAGCCCCCACTGGCCTGTCAGCTCCCTCTGGAAGGCCCAGGGAGGGGAACAGGATTCCTTGGGGAGGTCTCAGCCAGATGAGACACCCCACGGTGATGCAGATGCAGCAATATCAAAGCACACATAAGGGAGAGGCAATTCTAGGTGGCAGAAAGGGTGGAAAAATGCTAAGGCAGAAGCTCTGAGCCCCAGGGGAGGAAGGATGGAGCTTGCTTCCTATTCAGCTGGGGAGCAGCCTCCCTGCTCACTCTGAATGGAGCCTCTCGGCTCAGTAGGATCTGGCTGGGACTGAGTCACCCTCAGCTCAGGCGCATGCAGAAAATGCACCTGCCCTTAACAGGCACTCTGGGTTCCAGAGACAGCACCACGGTGTGACTCTGAAGCAGCAATGTGTGGAGCAGACAGGAACTTGTTTACGGTCAGGGAACATTTATCGACATAAGCGAAGACCAAGGTCAGTCAGCATACTCAAGATACCACTGACCCTTGAACAACACAGGTTTCAACTGCGTGGGTCCACTTTCACATGGATTTTCTTCTGCCTCTACCACCCTGACGCAGCAAGAACGACCCCTCCTCTTCCTCCTCCTCAGCCTACTCAACATGATGATGATGAGGATGAAGATCTTTATGATTATCCACTTCCACTTAATAGAAGATATATTTTCTCTTCCTTGTGACTTTCTTGATAACTTTCTCTAGCTTAATTTATTGTAAGAATGCAGTATGTAATTCATGTAACATACAAAACGTGTTAATCGACTGTTTATGTTATTGGTAAGGCTTCTTGTCAATAGTAGGCTATCAGTAGTTAAGTTTTGGGGGAGTCAAAGTTATATGCAGATTTTCGACTGCACGGGGGTCGGTGCCCCAACACCCGAGTTGTTCAAGGGTCAACTGCTTTTATGGCAAACACACACTGAGGCCTTGCTAAGGGCAAAACATGGTTCCCATGCACACTACAAGGGAAACCAAGATACCAGGCAGGGACTTGCCCTCAAGGGGGCTTGCAATTTGAAGGCAGCCCCATTGAGGGCCAGACCAAATGATCTTTCCAGAACCACCCAGCACTCTGCACGGTGAGCCAGAATGCTCCTCCACACCAGACTTGCTGAACTTCATTACTATGAGAGGTTTAATGGACCAGCCAAGCTCATGAGGTCCTTTCCTGGGCCAGTGGGTCACCTGGCAACACAGCTTCCCTGCCCCTGCCCTCACCCCCACTTCCCAAGCCTAGGCAAGTGCAAGGCTGGAATAAGATTTAAGAAGTAGACAGCAAGCCCACTGTGAACTCTGAAAGGCCACCTTTGCAGGAACTCCTGGAAAGAAGAGAAGAGGAGGTAATCGATGGCGCTGAAGTCCTCGCTACTTTTGTTCAGGCGGAACTGGAGGAAGACCAGCTCCCGCTTCTTCACTTCCCGGGGCCCCTGGACAATCAAGGCGGATTTCTGCAGTGAGACAAAGGACAGAATCTCAGTCCGAGAGAGCTGCGTGGTCCCTCTCCACACTCGCCTGAGACACACAGAGGCCTCTGGGTCTGCGGGCAGAAGCACTGACTGGAAAGCCCACAGCTCCTCGCCCAGCAGCCTCCAAGTCCCTGCTGGCCAGACCAGAAGCGCAGGCCTGCGTGCAGACCCATGCTCAGCCTGGGGGCTTTTCTCAGCACACTGCCCAAACCAGAGCCGAATGCAATTCATCCTCTGTCCACTCTTCTCACTGACTGGTTCAACTAGAGAAGCTCTTTATTTACCAACGATGATCACTTTCATCTGTTATATGTGCTAATCTTTTCTTCCAGTCTGTTACTTTTAACTTTGTTTCCAATGTCATTTGTTATACGGAAGCTTTAAATTTAATATAGTAAAACCTATAAATCCTTTTCTTTACGGCTTCTGGGCTTTGCTTGCTAAGGAAAGCTGAAATTGTATCAATATTCTCCTATATTTCTTTATAGCACTTTTTAGTCTTTTTTACATTTAGATATTCTATATACCTGGCTTTAAGTTTTGTAAACAGTGTGAAATAGAGTTCTGACTCTTACCCCCAGACAACAGAGGTTTTAAAGTCCCTTCCCCTTTCTCCTTTATCCTAAACTCAAGTAGAAAACTAACATATATGTCTGCTCCTGGCCCTCATATGATCCACAAATTTATTTGTCTATCTCTGTGCCAGTACTGTACTGCTTTGATTCCTGTGGTTTTATACTGTTCTGATATCTTACTAAGCAGGTCCCCTCCATACGACTCCTTCCATTCCCTACCCTGTCTTGGATATTTTTGTACATGTGCTCTTCTAAATGTACTTTGAAATTAGCTTGTTGAGTTCCACACAAAAAATCCATAGGGACTTCTGTGATAAAACTGAATTTATGGATTTGAGAAAAAAATATTTTTTTTTTTTTTTTTTTTTTTTGAGACAGGGTGTCACTCTGTTACCTGGGCTAGAGTGCAGTGGTGTCATCATAGGTCACTGCAACCTTAAAACTCCTGGCCTCAAGCAATCCCCCTACCTCAGCCTCTTGAGTAGCTGGGACTACTGGTGTGCGCTGCCATGCCTGGCTAATTTTTTTCCTTTATTTTTTTGTAGAGATGAGGTCTCGCTGTTGCTCAGGCTGGTCTCAAAGTCCTGGCCTCAAGCAATCCTCTGGCACAGCCTCCCAAAGTGCTAGGATTATAGGTGTGAGCCACCACACCCAGCTGATAAAAAATATCTTTACATCAACTTTTATAAATGCTCTACAGACATTTGAAAAGAGTATACCGTCAGGTACAAAGTTGTACACACACACACATACACATACATACATGCTCTAAATTTATTAATGGTGCTATTTAATTCTTACTTATCCTTATTACTTTTTGTCTATTTGATCTGTAAATTTCTGAGAGAGGTGTTAAAGTCACACTCTAAGGTGCTGACAGACTTTATTACTAACAGGTTTTGCTTAAAATATACAAATGGCATGCTGTTTTGTACATAAAGATTTATGACTGTTAACTCTTCTTAGCGGAGAGGAGTGGAGTTGAACCTCCTATCAATATTAAACAGCCTTCTTTTAACCCTTTGCACCTGGAATTCCCTGTTGACTCATGTTAATACTGCCACTCCACTTCTGGTTATTGTAGTATTCTTCCAAGAGATCTGTGTCCATCTATTTCTTTTCAACCTTTCTTGACATTTTAAGTGTGCAGCTGAGAATGCTAACTGTCCCAGTTTCCATTATCTGTTTCTTCCTTCAGTACCAGAACCACTTCCCAATCCCAGATTTCAGCTGAATACAGTGCCCCTGCTGTAGCCACGTGATGAAGTCCTAGAATGTGTGAAAAAGTGACTCATGCAACTCTGTGTCATCCTTCAAAGGGAACTGCATGTCCTCCACTGCTCACCTTCTCAGGAATGGGCATGCGTACACAAATTGACCTTGTGGACCACAACAACACCCAGGGGACAGCACAGTGACAAGACAGAATTAGAATAGAATACAACCGAATAGAATGGAATGGAATAGAATGGAATGGGACAGAATGGAATGAGATGGAATGGAATGAGATGGAATACAATTAAATTATAAGTAGAATTGAATTAGAATAGAATTAGGATTGGAATACAATTAGAATAGGAGTACAACAGGAATAGGATTAGAATTAGAATAAAATCAGTATTAGAATAGGAATAGAATTAGTATAGAAACAATAGAATTAGAATCAAATTAGAATATGAGGCCTACAACTGGAATAGGATTAGAATAGAAACAGCAGAATTAGAAATACAATTATAGAAATAGAATAGAAATAGAAATAGCAGAATTAGAATAGAAATAGCATTAAATTGAACAGAATCAGAACTACAACAGGAATAGGATTAGAATTGGAATAGAATTAGAATGGGATCAGAATTAGAATAGGAATATAATTAAATTCAACAGAATGAGAATTAGAATTAGAATAGAATGAGAATTAGAATTGGATTAGAATTAAGCAGAATGGAACACAATGGAATGGAATTAGAATAGAATTAGAACAGGAATAAATTAGAATTAAAATAGGAATAGAATTAGAAGAATCGGAATAGAATAAGATCAGATCAGTACAGATCAGAATCGAATAGATCAGAATAGAGTATCAGAATTGATCAGAATAGATCAGAATAGATCAAATAGATCAGAATATCAGAATAGATCAGCATAGACTAGATCTGTAGATCTGTTCCATTCTATCGTGGTCTATTCTATTCTATTCTGGAGTAGGAATCGTTTCAGCAGGATTTTAGGAGGAAGCCATACTAACAAAAAATTCTTAGTGGGTTGTTTCATCCTGAAACTCACTAATAGCTCCCTGTCACCCAAAGGAGCACGTCTGGCTCCACAGCACAACACATGTGCTTTTACCATCTGGCTGTTACTCCGTCCACAGCTTCAACTCCCATCACTGTGACCCTCTGAAACACCTTGCCCGCACTGCAATTTTGTCCAGAGGCACAAGCACAACATACTGTCTCTTTAGGTCCTGGTACATAGTTTCCTCTGCCTAGATAACCTTTCCTTCCCTCTTGACATGAAAAACTATTGCAGCTCTTTTAAATCCTTTCTGAAGCAAGGATATGAGATGAGAAAAGATAAGCTGTAAATTAATACAAAATTCCTACCCTGCCTTCAAACCCTGTGCAGGTGCCGCTCCTCTGACGCTCAGAGCCCGATCCCTCTGTCATCATTCCGAGCACTATTGTGCGTGACAGCAGAGCCAAGCCAGGGCCCAGGAGTCCTCGTCCCCAGACCAACACTCCTTCTTTACTTTACCGTATTTATTTCAAAATATGGATGCCCAGGCCCTGTCCTCAGGAATTATGATCTAATTTGCTTCACACGAAACCTGGGAATCTGTATTTTCAAAAACTATCCTGGTGAATCCGTGAAGGGTCAGGTATGAGACCCACTTTGCTACACCACACCAGCCCTGCCCTTTAGCCTTGCCATTCCTCCATCAAGGACAGGGTCCCATCACACCGTCGGGATCCCTGAGGATCACTCGGCAAGGGAAGAAGGCCTCACTGTCCTCCCTGAATGCAGGCGAGCCAGCCGCAGCCAAACGTCCCCCTGGCACAGCCACATGTCTACTCGGGGACCAAGGCCCCACACCCAGTAAGTGGGAGAAGGCCTCCTGGGAAGAACACTCGGGCCCGTGGGGTATGGGGCTAACCGAGCACACTGCCCAGAGCCAGCTCTGGGAGACAGTTACCATGGTCTGATTGGAGAAAGGGTCCGTGTAGTTGATCCTCTGGGTGGTACAATTCATGTCACCTGGCTGGCCAGGGTTCGTCAGAGGGGGAATGACCTCGTAATGGTGCTTACAGCTGAGCAACTGGGCTTGACCAGGATATAGGGCAATACCTGGGGGCATAAACAGGGAAAAAAAAAAGCAAATGTCAGAGGTTACAGTCCCTGACCACACCCCTGAAATCCTCTCACACCCACCAATGATCTATGTTCTAGACTCCCCGGGTGACTGCAGAGAAGGGAGAAGAAAAAGCTTACAGGGGTGGGGAGTTGCATCTCTGCCCTCAGAAAGCCCTACTCCAGTGAAGGGCACAAGCCCCTCCTCAGCAAGACCCTCGCTGGCTTAGGATACAGCCCCCCACCCCACGCCCACACTAAAACCTGCTCCATCTCAAAGCCCCACTCCGCACACTCTGAGGGAGCCTTCCTTGATCCTTGACTGAGCCCAGCTGTGACCATCCCTCTGGCCCGTCATCCACCTGCAGAATGCTGGGAGGCTCAGCTGTGGGATTTCCCAGAACTCATTTCATCTCTCACCTCTGCTATGATTGGGAGCTCCAATGTGGGAGTTGCATCCCAATACCCCCTTCCTCTCCCCCAGCCCAGGCACCTCGCTCAAGGCTCTGCTGACTGTAGTTGTTCCATCTTCAAGGGCAGAAATGCTGAGAGTAGCACATGGCATCAGAGACAGAGTTGCGAGACCAAGAGACCAGACGCAGAAAGTAGAACCCAAAGATAAAGAGGGACAAGCACAAGACGGGCAAAGATGGGCAGACGAGCCATGACCAGCACACCTGATTGTGCTGGCTCTGCCCTGTGAGCAGGCCCTCCTGAGGGTCGCTCAGGGGCATCCTGTCGACAGAGCAGCTGGCACATACCGGGTGGGCAGAGCCTGAGCCCGCAGAGCTCATGCCTCCCCGTTCACTCTATGGCCTCCAAGCGCCCAATGCTAGCCCCACAACCCAGAGCACACAGTCTGGAACAAAGGTGACTCCCCACTCAGGGACCAGACACCTCAATGGGGCGGGAGAGGTATACACAGTGTGGCCTGGGAGCCCCTCTCCAGGCAGGGCCCCTGCCCACCTCTGAGTGGCCCTACCTCCTCTGCCACCCCCCACCCCACAGTCCAGCCTTGACTCTCACTTCCCCTCACCCCTGGCCCAAGCCAAGATAGTCTCATCCTTTCTAGGGAGGCCCTCTGCCTCCCTACACTCCCCTTCACTCCTGCTGATCCTCTTCCCAGAAACACTCTCTTCCTACCTATGTGCTTCCCAAAGCCCAGCTCAAATCCTACCTCTCTGCAAAGCTTTCCTTGACCACCCCAGTTCTGCAGTAACCATTCCAGGCTGTGCACATAAAACACTCTGCTGGGTCCTGTCAGCAGCTCTCTGGGTGTGTACCCTACACCTAGACTACCCTCCACCCTGCCTATAGTACCCAGCACTGTGCTAGGAATACAGTGGCGGCTCAGGGAGTTTCTGCCAGTCGAGGATGCCTGGTCCAGGGCAGGCTCTACCTGGGGCATCATAGCGATCCACCTCTTTGTAGGACACAGACATGACAGGGTGCTTGAGTTTCTCACGAAAGTCCGTGATGGTCTGGTAAACCAGGAAGACGGCCACGGCCATGAGCAACAGGTAGATGAAGATGAGCAGGACTGAGAAGACATTCTTCAGGCAAGCCTTGCTGAAGCGGATGCTGCTGGAGACGGACTCACTGTCCAGGCCTGACAACAAGAAAACACCACGTGACCCAGCACACAGAGGCAAGGCGCAGCCAGAGACAGCCAGCAACCTCCCGGTACTTACCTGCCTTACCAAGGAGGAGGTCACCCACACACCCAACCTTTCCACCTCATCCTCCAAACTGTAACAAAGGGCACCTGCAAACATTTACTACCAGGCACAGGGCACCAAGCTGAAGGAGACTCATTTATTGTCTTTAAGGAGTTTACCCTCTAGAAAGATAGGCAGTTACAATCCAACAAGTGAGCTGGCCCCAACCCACCTCTCACTTTATCCCTCACCCCTCCGCTTCCTCAGTTCCCCCAGCTCCACTAATGGACTTTGTCTTCCAGAATGCCCTTCTCAACACTGGAGACTTGCACATTTGTCATTCCCTATGCTTGGCTTGAAGCACTTTTTTTCCACAGCTGATCCCTAACTCATCCTCCAAGTTTCAATTTAGAAAGGTAAGGCTTCCCGGACCCCTTACCTTTATTTGGGTACCCTTCATCATCATTCCCAGGAAGCCCTATATGTCCCCTACTTCATCACTCTGCAATATCACTGTCTATGTGTCTTTTTATCCCCCTAGGCTGCGAGCTCCACGAGGGCAGGGACAGGGCCAGTCTTATCCATAACTGAATCCCTTGCCCTTCACGCTGTGCCTAGAACAGAGCAGGCATTCTGCATTTACATGGTGACTGATTAAATGTGTCCTGATGCCATTTGTACAACACAGCTCTGCCTCCCCTACCTCCCTCACACCATCCTGAGCCTAGATTAGTCACTGCTAAGGATGAAACTACATCTCCCATCAAAATTCATATGTTGAAGCCTGATCCCCAATGTGACTGTATTTGGAGACAGAGCCCTTAGGGAGGTAATTAAGGTTAAAAGACATCCTAAAGTTAAAAGAGGATAGGTCCCTGATCCAACAGGACTGTGTTCCTACAAGAAGAGGAAGACACACCGGGAGTGCATGCACACGGAAAAAAGGCGGTGTGAGTATACGACGAGAAGGTCGCCATCTGCAAGCCAAGGAGAGGTTTCACCAGAAACCAACCCTGTTGGCACCTTAATCTTGGACTTCTGGCCTCCAGAACTATAAGAAATAAATTTCTGTTGTTTACGCTATTCGGCCTGTAGTATTTTGTTAAAGCAGCCCAAGCTAAGATACTCCCACAGGGTTCCCTGTGCCCTCTCTGCTCCTCAGTTGAAAACAGGAAAAGCCTGAGGAAAGGCCCTATTTCATCCACAGCACAGCTGGGCACAAGGACAAGGGAAGTGTCTGAATGTAAACCCCAAAAGGTAACTGCTTGGCTTCTGACTTCCAGCAGTGACAAAGTAGCTTGGTCATACATACCACCCTTCCACAGATAACAATTAACAATGACGAATTTCAACAATATATTTAAAATTATTTGATGGCATTGGAGAATGAGCAAAAGCAGGCAGAAAACCGAAGAGTCCACCCTTGAAAGAGAAGAACTGCACCTGGTGAGATTTGTAAATCTGTAGCCTTTTGCCTAAGGGCACATGCCAATCCCTTTTAAGGCATGCCTCAGGGTGGCTGAGGATAGAGTTCAGGGCTGGAAGGGCAGCCAGAAAGTTAATAAGAAATCTTGGAAGGGAAGGAGTCACATAGGGGTGAAACCTCCCAAATCTGCAAATGCTCAAATTCTTGGCTAGAGACCCTGAGGGGCCCAGCAAAAAAGCAGCAACTGATAAATGAAAAAACTGAGTGGAGATCTGAACTACTGCTAACGCAGGGGAGATATGAGTTTAGAGCCTAAGTCTTGCCATATTAACTACCTGCTAAGATAAAAATTCTTCTTCAGAAGATAACAGAATCCAGAGTCTCTATCATGTATCATTCATAATTTCCAGTGTTCAATCAAAAATCACTAGACATGCTAAGGAATAAGAAAATGGGACCCATACTCAAGAAAAAAGCAATCTATAGAAACCAACACAAAATGATCCATATGTTGCAATTAGCAGACAGGAACTTGACAGCATTTAAAGGAAAATATATAGATAAGGAATAAATGGAGAATAGAGAAATAGAAACTATTAAAAAGAAAAGAGCCAAATATATAGTTTCAGTTTTGCAGGATGAAGTGTTCCAGAAATGGAGGTGGTGGTGGTTGCACAGCACCGTGAATGTACTTAATACCACTGAACTGTACACTTAAAAATGGTTAAGATGGTGAGTTTTACATTATATGTATCTTACCACAATAAAAAAAAGTTTTATTAAATTTTTAAAAACAAAATGGAAATTCTAGAGCTGACAAGAAATAAAATGAAAAATTCACTGCATAGGCTTAACAGCAGAAGATGGCAGGAAAAAAAGAGTCAGTGAACTTGAAGTTCAATGAATAGAAATTATCCAATCTGAAAAAAATATTCAAGAAGAAAATGGAGCCCAGATAAGTATGTGACAATATCTAGCAGTCTAAGGCATGTAACTGGAGAGAAAAAAAATGGGTCACAAAAAATATCTGAAGAAACAATAGGCCAAAACTTCCCCAAACCGGAGTAAGACATCAACTTACAGATCCAAGAAGCTCAATAAATGCCAAACGGGATAAATAAGAAAGCTATCCCAAGGCAAATCACAGTCAAACTGCTAATGCAAAGATAAGAGAAAAATCTCAAAAGAAGTCAAAGGGACATACTACATATAAGGGACTAATGATGACTAATTTCTGAACAGAAATAAGGGAGGTCAAAAGACAACGAAACAGTATCTTTAAAGTGCTGAAAGAAAAAAATATTTTGTCAACTCAGAATTCTACATCCAGCAAAACTTCAAAAATAAAGATGAAATAAAGATATTTTCAAACACAAAAGCTCAGAGAAAAGGTGCAGACCTGCACTACAATGCATGCTAAAGAAAATTCTGAAAACTAAAGGGAAATGACACCAGATTATAACTCTCAGATATAAAGATTACTGAAAATGTCAAATGGCGGAGTAAATACAAAAAGCTACTTTTTAAAAAAAATTTAAGACTAAAGCAAAAATTATTCAAGAACATTGTAATGTTTATAATTTTTAAGAAAGAATAAACAAGAGAAAAAAAAGTGAGACAAATGGAAAAGAGCAAAATGGCACAATTAAATTCAGCCATATCAATAATTATATTAAATGTAAATGGCCTGAACACTCCAATTAAAAGGCAGGGACTGTCAGCCCAGATTAAAAACAAGATGCAGCTATATGTTTTGATAGGAGATCGACTTTAAATACAAAGACACTAAGAGTTCCTGCTCATAATTATTTCATTTTCCTTTCTTTAAAAGCACAAAAGCAGGATGAGCAAGAACTCTCAAAGTACCCTGGGTTGGCAGAAACAGGAAATAATTCATTCTTTACTTCAACATATATCAAACACCAGGTCTACATGCAAGACTTTGTACTAGGTGCCTCAGGGAGATATCAAGAAAGGAGGCTGATGGTCTGTGCTACCGAATTCAGGAAGACATGAAGATGTAAAATGTAAAGTTTCCTTCACCTGGAGGGAAGAATAGGGAGTACAGAGAGAGGGGCAGAGATCAGCAGAGACTTTGTAGTGGAGGTCACATTAGTCCTGTACCTAAAGCACTTGAATTTTGAAGAAGAAAATAATTTGGTTTTCATTATTCATATATTTTCTGAACTGAAAGAGCAGATATATAGCCAGTGGTTAAGAGCATGAACTTTATACTAAGAGTCTTGGGATCCAGCCCCAGCTCTGCTACTAACTACTCTGACCCTGGACAAACTACATAGTGCTCCTAGAACCTTACATTTTTCATGTGACAAGGAAATTATCATTTCAATTTTACAGGATTTTTGAGAGAAGTAAATGTGAGAATGTTGGAAAGTGTATTACATAGCGCCTGCTCAATGGTAACGATTACTGTTACCAAAGAAATAGAATGTACTTCAGTGTATACTCAAAAAAGTGAAGTGCTCAATGACAAAGACAGCAAAAATGAAGACTACAGAACTATAATCTCTTAAAAGCAACAAATTTTAAAAAATATATGCTGAAAATAAAACGGTGGGGCAGAATACAATGCCTTTCATATAGTAGCCATGTAATGTTTCCATGTCTGTTAAATGAATAAATAATAGTTGAACTAAGTCTGTCAATGCTAACTCAATTTGTCAGAGAATACTAGTGCATTTCAGACATGTAAAACTATAAACCAATGAGTGTTCCTTGCAATTTTCTAAAAACAATACCTTAAGAAGTTTTTACTTTACACAAGAGTGCAAATCCCCAGAAGGTCAGTGAGGCCCCTTCAGGTTGTAAAGAACAGGTTACCGTGGGCAATGGAGGTTTACAGCTACAAAGAGAAGGACAGACCAGGGAAACCCCATGGGCAGCTGAGAACTAAGCCACGAAAGTCCACAGCAAAGCTAGTTGTCCAGAAGGAACTAAAGCAATTCTTTCTCAGCTTTTTTTTTGTCTTTGATTCCACTTCTGCTTCTACCTATTGCTATTAGAGACTATCAATTTCCGTTCCCTCATAGATTTGCTATCTGCCTTCTTTCCGTGTTTCTCTCATGATCCTGTTCCACTTTACTAAGAAGTCCTTCTCTGTGAGGCTTGCATTCGAATCCTCCCCCGGAGAGTATCCTATACAGGGTCCTCCATTGCATACCTCACAAGACCTGCCCTCCTTCATGCCTAGCCTCTATAGACGGCTTCCCTTTCTCAGGTGCTGATCCCTGACCAGTTAGGTATAGGTGCGCTGCAAGACCACAGGATCCAAAGCATGGTGGTCTGTGCACAGGAATCTGCCCATAGCTATTTAGCTTGGAAGGCACAACCACGTTGGACCGTGGGTGCACTTCACAATATGGTCAGTAAAAACACACTCACTGTCATGAGCTGCTCATCACTGCAGTGGCAACGAGTACCAGCTTGCCACATTCTAATAGGGTTTGAAAAGATCACAAGATAAAACTAAAGAACTCTGAAGTGACTGATTTGGTACATAACATC